TCTCTGGCTGGTGGTGCAGTGCACCACTACTGGGTGGGTGGCTTGACCGCTCTCTGCTATCCGGTCAGCCTCGCACAGACGTTTTGGTTGTTTCCGCCTCCTGGCTGTTGTGGAAAGCACCTCAGTGCACCCTCGCGGGGCGACGGGCTGTTTACCACCACAGTGCACCTGTCACATGTCACAGCCTGGGCATAAGGGCTTTACCAAGCTCCCCAGGCAGTCGTGATGAACGGGCAGCGAGAGTTGGGGAACCGCTGTGTCAGGGTGCATGCAGCCCTTCCCGCCGGTGGACTCGGCTCCCTCCTGCCCCTGCCCCACAGGCTCACGGATGCTGACAAAAAGCACCTGTGGGAGAAGCGCTATTACTGCCACTCCGAGGTGAGCTCGCTCCCTCTGGTGCTCGCCAGCGCCCCCAGCTGGGAGTGGGCGTGCCTGCCCGACATCTATGCGCTGTTGAAGCAGTGGACCCACATGAACCACCAGGATGCCCTGGGGCTCCTGCATGCCACGTGAGTGTGACACCCACCTCTCCCCACCCCCACCCATGCCCTCCTGAAGCCAGCGCTTGGCACCGCCATCACTGAGCTGCCCGGGTCTGGGGGAATGGTGAAGTGGGCCAGGGTCTCCACCTCTCTTCCACAGCTCCTTGTTTCTCGGTCTCACCCCACCTCCTAATATTTCATGACAAATCACTGTAACATTTGACAAAATGGACAGAATGTATAGGGAGTCCCTGAGTACCTTCCACAGGTACTCTGTTGTCTACCCATCCCTCTCTCCACCCAGCCATCCACCTCCTTCCGGTGCTATTTGCAGACATTCCATGGGATGCATCCGATTGCCTCTCATAACATTACATGCCAGGCAGTGGCAGATATCGTGAAATTCCCACCTAAATATCTTAGCAGGGTGTCCTTAACTGAAGCTTGGCATTTATTTTGTTTATAGCTTTTGATTATTTATTCTTCCTTTTGAGGTATAATTTACAGGCAGGAAAATGCCTAAACCTGAAGTGTGAATTGCTAAGTTTTGACAGATGCATAGCCTGCGTCTCTCATGCCTCCCCCTGAGGGCCTCTTTGAGGGGGACACGGGCTCCCAGTTTCAGGCTCCGGCAGCCTAGTTACCTGGCTGGTTTCTCCCTTCTCTGTTTTCTAAATTGATCCGATCCACAAGCCTCCCTTTGGGACTTTTTGAGGCAATGATCTCGCTAATCCCCACTCAAGTAATTCAGTCAAAGCATGCTGGCTTAAATAAACATAAATAAAGTTCTGGGATTTGTCCGGCAGTCTTTGCATGTAAGGATTGAAGCAGAAGTAACAACAACAACAATAATAATAATAAATAAGCCCAAACAACTCACTACCATCAAGTCGATTCCAGTTCACAGGGACCCTGTGGAGGGTTTGTGAGGTTAGATCTTTACCAGAGCAGACAGGCTGGTCTTGCTCCCTTGAAGTGACTGGTGGGTTAGACTTGCTGACCTTGTGATCAGCAGCCCAGCGACTAAGCCACTGCAGTACCGGGCTTCTTAATGATGCACTCACTCAATAGGACAGCACAGAACTGCCCCCTTGGGTTTCGGAAACCATAGATCGATCATCCAGGGAGCGAGCAGACAGCCTCATCTTTCCTCTGGCAGAGCAGCAGGTGGGCTCAAACTCCCGGCTTTATGGTTAGCAGCCCAGTGTGTAATCTCCTGGACCACCAGGGCTCCCAGGGCACAGTAATGCTGTAACCCTCGTGAAGGTTCGTTGATGGGGGATTGCTGACCTAGGGGTCCGCTTGCAGGAGCTCTCTGGGAGTGGGGTGGGGGCTGCTGACTTTATCCCATTTCTCTACGTCACACGGCACAAGTGTGGCCCCTAGATCTGGGCCTCTGCGGCCTGAAGTGGACTCTGACCGTGGGGTGAGGTCATTCTGGAGAAGGTGTGAAGGACCTTGTAGATGTTTTGGTGCCTTCTGGGAACCTTGCCTTTCCTGCATGGCGACCTTTCCTCGCTCTGGACTCCAGGTGGATTAGAAGCCTGTGCCGCCCAGCCCGGGGCTGGGCATCAGGGCCAGTGTCTGTGTTTTACAGCTTCCCGGATCAGGAGGTGCGGCGCATGGCCGTCCAGTGGATCAGCTCACTCTCAGATGCTGAGTTGCTGGACTACTTGCCCCAGCTGGTGCAGGTGGGTGGACAGGCCTGCCCCCCATTTCTGACGGCCCAACCCCAAGACCCCAAGTCAGCCTGCACTCTGGCCCTGAGAACCCAAGGCCCCCTGAGGGCCTGTGCTCTGTGTAGCTGGCAGCAGTACTGAAGCCTCAGCTTCCCCGCCCCTTCCTCCTTCCCAGCCCCTGAAATATGAGTGCTACCTGGACAGTCACCTGGTGCGTTTCCTCCTCAAACGAGCGATCTCCGACCTGCGAGTGACTCACTACTTCTTCTGGTAACACAGCTCCTGGAAAGGTGGGAGGGAGAGGAGTGGCCTTCATGTGGGTGGGGCTTTCCATCCAAGGCCTGCAGGGGCGGGCAAGGGGCTGCATCCTTAGAGGCTGCTGTGCCCTTGAGCTTCTATCTTTCCCTCAGGGCGTCCCAGGTCACCTCTGTGTAGCTCAGTGGGTGGTCCCTGCACCTCCTGGCAGAAACATGGCAGGGAAGCCAGGTGCACGGGTGCCCTGAGCTCTCGGCTTAAAGAGGAAGTGGACGCAGACCTGGTTGTCGCCTGGTGACGCCTCTGTCTATCTGCTCTGCTGGCACCCATTGAGTGGGCTCCCACCCATAGTGACCCCAGGTGGCAGAGCAGGACTTTCTCCCATGGGGCCGCTTGGGGTGAGTTGGTGTTCACACACCACCCTTTCTGCCGGCAGCCCAGCGCTTCATCTAATCTACTTTCCCTGCCCAGTTTGGGGTGAGTTTTGCTGTGCCTTGGGCCTGCATGTGGCCCCCTTGCTTGGGACTCCTCAAGTGTCCTGACATCCCCCCTGCCCTCGTCCCCTCTGCCTTGTAGGTTGTTGAAGGATGGCCTCAAGGACTCTCAGTTCAGCATCCGCTACCAGTACCTGCTGGCGGCCCTGCTGTGCTGCTGTGGCAAGGGCCTGCGGGAGGAGTTTAATCGCCAGTGCTGCCTGGTCAACACTCTGGCCAAGCTGGCCCAGCAGGTCCGGGAGGCCGCACCATCCGCCCGGCAGGTGAGGCTGCCGCTGCCCGTTTCTGGCCCTGAGCGTCTGCAGCCTGCCTGGCCTGACTGAGGGTGGGAGGGAGTGGGCTCTGTCTTTAAAGCACAGGCCACAGTCAGACATCTACCTGTGAGCTGGCTGCAGCCTGTCCCGTGGGTTCTTCTTGGCCGGCCAGGTATGACAGTGTTGACGGGATGCTGGCTGCACCAGAGCCCCTGGCCAGGGGTTGGGTACCAGGCTGTGAGTCATGGCTCAGGTCCACAGCCCCCCACCCCCCGCCAGGCTACACCTTTAGATCTCTGCACAGAGGGGGTTTGTTGAGCCAGGCGTGTTCCCTGCTGCCCCTGTTTGCAAGTTGTGAAGCTCCAGAGTCAAGGGTAGGCCGTTGAGAACAGCCTGAGTAGAGCTCCCCTTGGGAAGCAGCCTGCCCCGAGTGAGTTCTTCATTCCTGCGTCCCCATATCGGTCACTTTCCAGGGTAGGCCCTGGAGCTTGCTGCCCCGGCTCTGTCCCTGCCTGGGGAGGTGACTCAGGTGGATTTCTTTCTGAAGGGCCTCCTGAAAGTGGCCCACCGTCCTCACAGGTGGTAGTCATCCCAGCCCTCTGGAGACCCCTCCTGGGGAGGCCGGGTTTTGAGGGCAGCTGACAGCCCTTCCCCCCCCTCGCAGGGTGTCCTCCGAGTGGGCCTGGAAGACGTGAAACAGTTCTTTGCCCTCAACGGCTCCTGCCGCCTGCCGCTCAGCCCCAGCCTGCTGGCCAAGGGCATCGTGCCTCGGGTGAGTGACTGGCGGGTGGGCAGGGGCTCCGGGTAGGAGTGGGCTGCAGAAGTGTGGCTGTTGAGAGCTGCAAGGAGGAAAGGCACATTGGGGGACTTCTACAAACAGCTGTGCGGGCTGGAGGACTTGGGGTGGGGGCTGGCTACGTGTCTCCCCCTGCGGATGTTGGAGATGAAGGCAGGGTTGGGCATAGGGTGGGGGAAGGGCAGCTCTCATCTCCTGTTTCTCGTGCCTCCTGCTTTCCCTGTGCCGGCCTCTGCTAAAGACGGGCTATTGGCATTGTTGTGAGGCATTATGCAGAGGGACGAACTGAGGTCCCTACACATCAGAAGTCACACAACTAGCCAGTCATGTGCAGAATGGCCTGTAGGAGCGGGTGCCGGAGTCAGGGCGGTGGGAACGGAGCCAGGATGAGAGCAGTCAGGAGGGAAGCACCCCAGGGGTGCCTGAGAAATCTGGTGGAAGTGATGGGGGGGCCTTGACCCGGACTGTGGGAAGGCAAGGTGGGGTTTAAGCAAAGAGGGTCTTTCTCCGCCCTGACCCTGGCCACCGCTCTCCTGGCCACACAGGACTGTTCCTACTTCAACTCCAACGCCGTCCCCCTCAAGCTCTCCTTCCAGAACGTGGACCCACTGGGGGAGAACATCCGGGTCATCTTCAAGGTGCGCACCCTTCACTCGAAGCTGCCGGGAGAGGTGGGAGAGACAAGGCAGGAAGGAGCATGGTTGGCTGTTCTTCCCCCACCCCTACCCCCATTCTCTGCTGGTGAATATAGCCCAGGGTGTGGCCCCCAGGGGGCTGGGGACAACTGGTAGCCCAGCCTACGAAAGTACTTTCTGGTAGACAGAGCCCTACCAATAACGGCAGGGGTAAAGTGGTGAGCGGCTTGCCCCTGGGAGCATTCAAGCAGACGCTGCATGACCGCACAGCAGGGGAATTGAAGAGGAAATGAATTATTCTATCAAGTGCAGGGGGGAGTAGATAAACCCCGAGCTCCCGTCTGACTCCAGGACGCCAGGGATTCTGAGACAGCTCGGAGCATGTGATCTAGTTGCTGGGAGGGCAGGGGGGAGGCATGCATGGCCATGAGTTAGCAGTTTGCACTGTGTTTGTGTGTAGACGATACTAAATTCAGGATCCCGGGTGGTGCAGTGGGCTGCTGACCGCAGGTCCTCCGACCAAGCTCCCCAGCCGCTCCTCGAGAGAACGATGACACTGCTGCTGCCATAAGCATGTAAAGTCTCTCGGAGCCGAAGGGGTAGTTCGACCCTGTTCTCGGTCGCTATGACTCAGAATTGACTTGATGGCAGTGAGTTTTTGGCTTAAGTTCCAAGTTTACATAAATGGGCCTGGTGGTCAGAGAGGGCTGCATGGGGGGCGGCGGGGGTGGGGGGCACGGACGACCTCAAAACCAAACTCGCTTGCCATTGAGTTGACAGGACAGAATCACCTCTGGGTTTCTGAGACTAACTCTCCGGGAACAAAATGCCTCCTCTTTCTCCCTCGCAGCAGCTTGTGGTTTCAAACTTGTGACCTCGTGGCTAGCAGCTCAACATGTAATCTCTACACCACTGTTTAAAAACCTGTTGCTGTTGAATCAATTCAAACTCACAACAAGCCCGTAGGACAGAGCAGAAATACCCCTTAAGATTTCTAAAGCTGCCCCATCTTTCTCCTGCTGCAGGGCTGGGTCTAGACCCCTACCTTTTCAGTGCGTGGTGGAGTGATTGAACGGTGCCTCCAGGGCACTGCTGGAGGGAAATGTAGATCTAATCCAGGTGGGAATGTGGGGTGGAGGGAGAGGGCGCGTGGGACTCAGCCTGGACTCAGTGTGAAGGCTACTGGGACATCGCTGTGCTGGGAGCTGATATGTGCTGAGTGAGCAGGTCAGGGTGCAAGATGGGAGGACAGGGCAGACCCGGCCTGGCTCTGGCCCTTGGATCATGCTGCCCACCTGGGAGGCAGGTATGGAATCCTGAGGTCATGCTCTTCCTCTCTCCAGTGTGGCGACGATCTTCGCCAGGACATGCTGACCCTGCAGATGATCCGAATCATGAGCAAGATCTGGGTGCAGGAGGGGCTGGACATGCGCATGGTCATTTTCCGCTGCTTCTCCACGGGCCGGGGCAGAGGTCAGTAGGGAGTAGAGGGCTGGCCTGCTGACTGCCCTCTGCTAGTTCCCCAATCTGGAAGGTGCAAAGGAAAAGATGGGTTCATAAAAAGCTACAAAGTACAAATATGCTTGATACTACTGAGTGTGGCTTGTTCTAAGAGCTGTAAGAACCCCCAATAGAGTGATCTTAAAAAAACCAAACCAAACCAAAGCAGCTGCCAAATGGCATTTAAAAAAAAGAAGGCAAGAAGAAAGACATTAAATAAAACAGATGTGGGGATGTAGCACCCAAATCTAGTCTATTGACTTTGGCCCCTGAGTGAAACTAACTTAAAAAAAAAGTTTTTTTAATGGAAACAGTTGAAGTCAATAGCATATGGGCTAGGTATGAGATCATATTCAGAAATGCATGCTGATTTTTTGGATAGGATGAGGGAATGGACCGTGGTATCCCCATGTTAGTGAAATGGCATATCTGGAATTTGCTTTAAAATACTCCAGCCAGGGAAAGGAGGGGGGGGGGAGATAAAAAGCAGAGTTGGGCAAGTGAACTAGACGAAAGAGGATTAGCAAAATGTTTGGTTTTAAAGGTGGATGGTGGTTACATGTGAATCCTTGATAGGGTGTCCCCTCGTCTTAGCTGTGTCTAACGCTGCCCACCAGAGCAAGAGGCACTGCACAAGGAGCTGCCACGTGCTCTCCGCGGGAGCAGCGAATTGGAGCATGAGAGGGAATGACCTTCCTGTGCCCACGCCCCTCCTCCCCCAACGTCCAGCCTTATCGTCAGTCTCTGTCCAGCTGCCCTCGAGCTAAATGGATAGAGAATCTTTTCGCGGGTAGCGCTCCCCCTGCAGTCTCCTTCACTCTGCTTGGGGGGCTGCCCCTCCTCTCGCTCAGGCATGGTGGAGATGATTCCCAACGCCGAGACCCTGCGCAAGATCCAGGTGGAGCACGGGGTGACCGGCTCCTTCAAGGACCGGCCACTAGCCGACTGGCTGCAGAAACACAACCCCGGGGAGCACGAGTATGAGAAGGTAGACGCCGGGCCCGGGGGTGGCGGGTGGCCGGCAGATGTTCCTCATTGTTAGTAACAGACGTGCACGTCTGACCTTCGAGAGCAGAAATTTATTTTCTCACCGTTGGGAAGCATCGCATTGATTCCGACTCGTAGCCACCCAGTAGGGCAGGGGAGAAGGGCCCCTGTGGGGTTCTGGTACTCTGAGTTTCTGTGACTCTTGTTTACATATAAAGCGCTCCTCTCTCTCTCAAAGGTGGATCACTCAGACTTTTCTGTATCTACAGTTCATCAGTAACTTTGTAGCTGTGTGTCAGTATAATTATTGTATCTGGTTTGTAATGATTATATCCACAGTCTGTTTGTTTTTTTTTTTACATCCTTCTCTTCTTAACCAGTACTCCAAGGTCAAAATAGATATTTGACGTCCTGGAAGAGATCATAGGTTAACAACAAGGGGTTGAGAAGCTCAAAGATTGTAGAAAAAAAATGTTTTTGAGTACCCCTCCTCCCCCCAAAAGACGATATGTCTTTATGGGAGTAGGGAGCCTCAATTTTCTCCTTGGGACGGCTGGCAGTTTTGAACTGCTGACTTTCTGGTTAGGAGCCCAATACATCCCAGGGCCCTTTTCTCACAGTTTTGAGATTGGTGGTGGTGGGGGTGGGGTGTGGGGGTGTGGGTGTTTGACACCAAAATGACCCCAGGGTCCAGAGTGGGGGGAGAACAGTGGCAGTGAGCAGGGGTCTCAGGGGAGGGCCTAGTAAGGTGGTAATGTCACTGGGGTGGGAGTCACTCCATGCAGTCTATCCCTCTCAAACCCCTGCCAGCATGCTGGTGGTCATGGTGTCCACCAGGGGTGAGAAGGAGGGGTCCATCTTGGCCATTGGGAGAGGGGTGGAGAAGTGGTGGGGAACTGTGGGGGTGGGGCTGGAAGAGGTAGGATTGCTCTGTGCACCCACCCGGCTGGCGCCGAGTTACTGCGCCTGGTGATGACAACACAACTGCGCCCTTTGGAGAAGGGGAGGGGGGGCAACCTATGAGAACCCTGGTACCCTCCTGAGTGAGGGTCCACCGTCCCCACTGTGTTCCCAGACAGTTCAGTGGCACCTGATAGAATGGGAATTTTTTGGAAGAGCCACTGGAGGCCATGGTAGATCCATCCCTCTTTTCATGGATAGGAACTGATAGGAACCTTTTCATAGATTCACTCTTGGTTCCTTGTCATCAACCAAGGATGTTAGAAAGGGGGTTGGCTGGTGCTTCAAGTGGGAATTCACTGTGCAGTAGACCTCTTGTGGCCTGGTCCAGGTCTGGACCACAGGTTCACAGAGCTAGTTCCTGGGATAACTGGGGGTAGGGGAGAAAGGAACAAGTCACAATAGCCAAACTCATAAGAGACTGATTGTAGGCCAGAATGAAAATGTATATACATTTAACTTACAAAGGGATCCTAATATTACTTTTAGATTGGTCCACTCATTTTATCCCTGAGGCGGGCAGGGAACCTGCATAGGAAGCCAAAAGATAAACAGAATGTTGTTCACTGAACACGTAATTAGATGCTCTTAAAAGGTCTTCCATGTTTTATATTCCCCAGGGTTTAATCCCTAGCCTGCTGTGCTCTCCTCTCTCTCTTCCTGTGCCAGCTCCTCCGGTCTTACTACGTTAACCACCTCCCAGGTGCTGCTCACCTCCAAAGCCAGTCCTCTAGCCTCTTCCCACTGAGCTTTTCGACTTGGTAGTAAACTTCCCATCTCCCCTCCTTCCCTGGTGGTCTGTGTCCCCTGCCCTTCCACAGCAGGAGGCGCGCCATTGGTCAGCGGCCTAGAAGGGCGACTGCCTCCATGCTGCTCTTGCCTCACTGTCCGCTGTCCCGAGACTCTGCTTCCAAGGGGCTCCGGGCCCACCCTCGTCTTCCCAGTCCTTAGTCATGCTTTACTGTAGCTCCTTCTTCCTCTCCATCCTGCGCGCGGATTCTTGAGTTTTGTTTTATTTTGTAAGAACAGGGCGCACACTCGCCCGTGTCATTCCTTTGCGGCTCCCGGGTTCTGAAGGGAAGTCCAACCTCCTGAGCAGTGCGCTCACCGCCTTTCATTCTCCAGCCGTGTCTGCCTGTGTGGACTCGCCCACTGCACGTCCCCCCTCTCACGCTCACTTGCACTCCCGCTGAGGGGCCGTGCATATCCCTTCATGCCTGTACATCATGGTATCCCCTTTACCTGGAATGCCATTAGCCTCTTCCCCATCCTTTGAAACCCACCCCCGTCTCTGATGCCCGGCGTGGAGTGAGTGCCCTCCTGTGTGTTCTTGGTAGTTACATCCATCACATTCATTACGTGATGCTTGCTGCGTCGGAAGGGCGCAACCATAAAGCCAACACCTAGCACAGTGGTGCCGCTTAATGTCTGAGAAACATGAAAGGTAAAGACTATGTGGGGGAAGGAGGAAAGAATCCATGGGACTTCTCCCCAAGAGTAGAGGGGAGTCCTGGTGGTGTCATGGTTATGCATTGGGCTGTGGTCCACATAGTCAGCAGTTCGAAACCTCCAGCAGCTCTTGGGAGAAAGACGGGACTTTCAACTCCTGTGAACAGTTGCTGTCTGTACGAGTCAGCATTGCGTCCTTGGCAGTGAGTTTAACAATAGGGGATGTTGTGTGGAGACAGGTTATGTTTGCATTAAAAAGAAATCACCCCATCAGGTGAAAACATGCATGACATCAGTGAAAGACGTGAGTTAAGATCATCACATTAAAAAAAAACCACCCCAAAAACAAAAGATCATCACATTATCTCCCTACAAATCAATATCACTTCACTGGATCTCAGCTCTCTCATCCAGGAGGCTGGTCTGTTCATAAAGGCCTCGGCTTCTCTAATGGTCTCTACAGCGGTTAACATCAGTCCATGGGAGACAGCTACTTCTACTGGAAGATAGCTACTTCTACTAGTAGTTCCTTCCAGAGACTTCCAGGAGAGCAGAACGAGAGACATCTTCCCCTTGACCAGCTACTCAACACAGGCTCCCTACAACTGAAGCCCCTCCAATCAGAAGACAGACCCTCGATGCCATAAGATGACAGGCCAGTAAGACTGTAACACCCTGCAGGGCTTCGTGAGATGAGAAGTGTGGAGTCATTTTCCCATGGGCATGTGGCCCCGGTCCCGGGGCTGGTGCTCCAGAGTGGTTTGCGTCCAGGGAGGAATCACTGCAGGGGAGCAGAGAGGGAGCAGAGCTGGTTGGTTATCGGAACATCCGACAGAACGAAGGCCGTTTCGCAGGCAGCCGCCGCACACGTTTCCGTTTACAGGCAGCGCGTCTATACCGTGTGTCTGTCCGTGCCCGTCACGGGCTCCATGTGAGGGGGCTGTCGTTTGCTAGGTTTATGTTATGGCAACCCACAAGAACATCCTAGGACAGGGGAACGTACAGGAAGAACTGTAAATGAACCGCCTGACAGCCAGCTTGTCCGGCTGACTCCACTTATCAGACCTCTTGCAATGTCTGAGGAAGCCAGCCTACAACCACCGAAGGGCCAGCAGGCGCAATCGTATGATGATGCTGTATGAAGATCATATATCATATCTAGAGGATAGGGAAGATAGGAGAGAGAATAAAATAAAGGAGTCAGACACGTTTCATGGTAGCACGCTCACCTCAGGCCTTCTTGGTGGTCCATGTGGAGGTGGGAGAAGAGAGGAGTTTCTTGACTGTCTTGGGATTGTATAGGAAGCCGTAAGACAGGCATATTCAGTAGTTACACACGTCACAAGGTGGGTGGTCACCACAGTAAAGTCCCTGAGCTCACAGGTGAGGAAACCTGCATTTGGGGAAGGTGTGAGGGGGGCTGGGTGACACTGCCGGAGGAGCTAGCGAAAGGATAACGTCTGTTTTTGTAGGGAGACAAAATCAACCATGTGCTCACTTTAAGGCAGCATGGCTGTTAGGGGGGAATCTGTGGGAACGCTATTTAAAGCAGGATAATGTACTTGGACTTTATCTCTAACTTAACAAAGTGGTGACTTTCCTACCGTGGAATACTAGCTTTCCAGATTCCCTCTGTTATAATTTAGGGAATATAGTCCTCCCTCAGTGTTAGTTTCCCACAATGCAACAGCCAGGGAAGCCGGCGGATGGACGTTGAACAGCTCCTGACTGAGCGCTAGGGAAACAGCCAGCGACAGGTGAGCTCTGCCCACGCACGGTCGACTTTGGGTCAGAAGGGCTGAGGTTGTGCTCACAGGCACGAGCCCGCATGGGATGCCTTTGAGGAAGGAAGGTCTGAGGCAGGCTGGTCGGGCAGTATCTTTTCATTCACGATGCATCTTCCCTTTCTTAGAAATTGCTTTCTCTTTCCTCCCAGGGGGTGTCTTCTGTGAGATATTTATACATTTTCCAGTCTCAGTTCCAGTTGTAATATGACAAGTAGCGAGGTGTGGACTGCGGGGAGGGCTTCTGTTTGTGGCTGACATTAAAATAGGCCTTCTGGAACAGCCAAGGAGCTTGCTGTGAGACTTTAGAAGATCCCTACATCCTGAGGGGTGGGCGACAGTGCCCACGCAGTCATGGACTTTTCACCTAGGAGCCCTAGTGATGCTATCAGGCAAGTTATCAGGTCAGTGGTCAGTGGTTCAAACCTACCAGATACTCCTGGAGAGAAGGAAGAGGCTATTTGCTCCCGTAAAGATTTACAGCCTCCACAACCTTAGGTCATGGTAAGCCTAAGTCAACCTGAGGGCAGTAGTGTGTAGAAGACCTAGGAGTGATTCTTGGCCAACATCTTGTGTACCCCCAGTAATCTGTCAGTGGAGGCCTGTGTTGCTTGTGTTAGTCCGGGTTGACTAGAGAAACAAATTCATAGACACTCATGTATACAAGAAAGAGCTTTATATAAAGAGTAATTATATATTAAGAAAACATCCCAGCCTGGTCCAGATCAAGTCCATAAGTCTGATATTAGCCCATATGTCCGATACCAATCTGTAAAATCCTCTTCAGACTCATACAACACATGCAATGATGCCGAATGCAGGAAGATCACGGGCCAGTGGGTAGAAAGTCTTGTGGATCCAGTCGTGGTGGAAGCATCTCAGCGCTGGTGTGGGTCTCCATGTGGTTCTTCCAGCTCCAGGGCTCTGGCTCCATCAGTGTAGCTCCATGTGGCTTGTCAACAGGAATGTCTGGAAGGGAAAGTGTGTGTCCCACCTCCAGGGAGGAAGACAGGAGTTCCCAGAGTCCTCAGAAGAAGGCTGTGCCCACACAGAGCCCTCATTGGTTATGACCTGATTGACAGGCTAGGCTCCACCCCCTTGCTCAGATGACCGGAGATTGTGTAACTGCCACTGTGCTTAACAGGTTTTCGCAGAGCTTGCAGAGTAAGATAGGCTAGGAAGAAAGGCCTGACAATGTACTTCCAGAAACCAGCCCATGAAAGCCCTATGGCTCCCAGTGGTCCAACCTGCAACCCCTTGTAGGGCCCGTGCAGGCCCAGCAGCATTTCGTTCTGCTGTGCAAAGGGTCACCGTGGCTTGCTTACAACAACCCCTGGCTAGGGGAGGGGAGAGGTGGCGTATAGACTCAGCACCCAGTGAATGGTGGGGGCAGTGGCTCTGTGAGGTCTCAAAGGAGGAGAAATCACTGGAGCGGCGAACGTCTGGAGATACTGGAAGGCTCAGAGGGTCTTTGAAGGGTGGGTGGATGTTTGTGGAAGGGGAGAGGGCGAAGAAGGCTGCACACCTGGGAAGCTTTTTCTCATCCCTGATTTTGGACCTTTCGAGTTGACCGTTGCCCTCTGCCACTGAGACTTTCTTGAGAATGTACAGTCCCCACAAATGGCATGGTCGCGCTGGCGCCAGGTAGCTTTGCTTTCTGGACAGATGTTGATCCCACGCCCCCTACTTCCAACTCAAAAATACCTCTCACACATTTGACCAGTCGGAGCGCTCCGATTTCCAAGTGAGAAACAGTCCCGCAAGTGTTTAGCTGCCTCAGCTCTTCTTTGGAGTGAGGCGACTTAAATTAGATCAGCAGTTAGCTGTTACCAAGAATTCTGAAAATGAGCCTTTTATTTGGGGCAAGAAGAAACCTCTCCAAAAGAATGTTAGATTTCAGTGCTCTCTGGTCAATTCTGATCCACAGCAAGCCCCGCATGCAGAAGAAGGGTTGGGGATTCTGAGGAGAGTTAATAAGTGTTTGTTGAAAGAAGTAATACCCTGAGCCATGCCTACTTTCCCGGGTGTTGTGGAGGGAAAATGACACCAGTGAAAGCGCTTAAAAACCTCTGTGTGTGTGTGTGTGTGTGTGTGTGTGTGTGTGTGTTC